CCTTCGGCTTGTAAGAAATTATAATTTTATTATATTATTAAGAAAAAATATTTTTTTTTTCAAGCTGCGAAAATTTCTAAATTCATTTTAAGTTTTTATTTTATGAAAAGGATTTAAATAAAAATGAATGCAAAAATTGTAATAAATAAATAATAAAAATTATATAAAAAATAAATAAATTCAACTGAAATTAATAATATTTTTTATTCTTTTTTTTATATATACCTTAATAAAATATATAAGATTGTATATACTGACAAAGATATATTCATATTAATATATTTAAAGAATTATCCATTTTTTTTATTGTATTTTCTCTTCAAGCAGCTAGGGACTGTTCCGATAATGCACAAAGTTAGTGTAGCTACTACAATAGCAAATAGAACCTATTGCTATAGTGCGACTGCAATTCATTTTCGAATGCCCGAAAAACTCTCTTATTTCGTTTGTAATTTGTACAGCTTCACACATATGCATATACCTCGGCATATGTATGTGTATCGCTGTACGTCTGTTGTGGACGGTGCTCTGCATGGGCATTTCGCGCATTTCACCTCTAACCGTACTTTCGCCAATTTCCACTGATGCGCTCTTTGTAATTTCTGGCCGACCATTTTCCATTGCAATGCTTGGCCATTTTTTTTGTTTTCTTTCTTCCTCTCGTTTGCCTTGTTTTTTATTTTTTATTTTTATTTATTTTAAATATATATATATATACATATATTTCAGTTGATTTCTTTCTTTTCGATTGCGTTTTCGTTTTTGTTGTACGTCGCGTTGCGTCGCGCGGTTTTGTGTATCTCAATACGAAAATATTTGTATCTGTTAATGCATCTCCACATGTATCTGTCGCTCACTGGACAGACTCTCTCAGTGTGTGTGTGTGTGTGTGTGTGTGTGTGTGTGTGTGGCGGACTGAATGTTTGGGTGCGTAGGCTTTTTTGACTTTCACAGTTTTTCGCTTACCGCCGCCAACAATCACACAGTCAACCCCAGTTGCGGCGGCAACCGAACAACAACAACAACTACAACAACAACTACTACCAATGCTAAATAGTCAAATAGTTTTTCATGTGCCGCACTTTACAACAGCAACAGCAGCAACAACAACAAAGAAACGCAGCCAAATTGCAGCGAAAATGCAACAAAATGAAGAAGAAGAAGAAGCTACTACATACCTACATATATATATATATATATATATATATATATATATATATATATATATATATA